TAGAAATTTCATCATAGAATTTTTTTTTGATAGATAATTTCGTTAGTGTAAATTTTTTTAACAGGGGAGACTTTTTTTTGATAGAGAATTTCGGTAAAGATTTTTTTTTTAATAGGAGAGTTTTTTTTTTGATATAGAAATTCTTTGAGAATTTTTTTTAATAGGTGGTAAGAATCTTTTTAATCGGGGATATTTTTTTTGATTGAGAATTTCATTAGAGAATTGTTTGTTGAAAATTTTTTTTATTTTTTTGATGGTGAATTTTGTTTAGAAATCTTAATAGAAAATTTTATTGATAATAGTTTTTTTTTAATAAGTGTATCGAGAATTTTGGCTTGAAATTTTTTTTTAATTTTTTTTATAAAAATTGATTGAAAATTTATTGGAAAATTTTTTATTAAATTTACAATTTTAATAAATTTTTACTTCTCTTCATCTTCCCATCACTTCTTTTCATCTCCCATCGCTCCTTTTCATCTTCCATCACTCCTCTTCGTCTACCATCACTCCTTTTCGTTCTTTTCATCTCCCATCACTTCTTTTCATTCCTCTTCATCTTCTTTTTGTCTCCCATAACTCCTTTTTATTTCTTATCACTCCTCTTTGTCTCCCATCACTTCTTTTCGTCTCCCATCACTCCTTTTCATCTCTCATTATGTCCTATTTCTCCTTTTTGTTTCCTATCACTTCTCATTACTCTTTTTTACTACCTTTCATCTTCTATTACTTTCCATTACTCCCACTGTTATTTCATTTTTTTATTAGCATCTTTCTCCTTGATCATTGTAATTTACTTATCCTTTTTATTTATTGTTATTGTTTCTTTTATTTTTACACTTAAATAAAAATAAATATATGGTGATTTTTTTCTTTAAAATCGTAAATGGGTGACTTAAATTTTAATATTTGCAAATAAAATTTCATTAAATAAATAATTATCATTATTGATATCAAAAGTTAATATGCTGACTGCCAGTTCTTATAATGGGTACCTGCCGTTTCTTATAGCGGGTACCTGCCATTTCTTATAACGGGTACCCGCCGTTTCTTATAGCGGGTACCCGCCATTCCTTATAACAGGTACCCACCGTTTCTTATAGCGGGTACCCGCCGTTCCATATAACAGGTACCCACCGTTTCTTATAACGGGTACCCATCATAACATATAACGTATATAACGCTATGAAATATAGCGTATTAAACGCTATTTTTTGCAACAGGTTACCCCTGAAATTGCATGTTAACAGACAAAACAGGTAACCCACCGTGAAATATAACGTATACACGCTACAAAACATAGCGTATACACGCTATGTTTTGCTACGCACTTTTGACCATGGCGGCTTTCCATATTATATATATACTAGGGAAGTGCTATGTTGCACAAATTATGATTGCATTTTGTACCTTTTCGTAGAAATATATCGATCTACAGATCTTTCCTTTTTGGATAATTCCAGCTGGAATTATGTATAAACTCTGGATCGGAATCACGTGATACAAATTAAACTCAACATCGACGTGATAATTATGAGTCATCTAATAATTTGTTGATTTATAGTACTAATCGACTGATCGACTGATCGTGCATCATAAACTTTTATACTTCCCCTCTCAACTCGTACGTTTATTGTCTAAAGAAGTATTATAGGTATTCTTAGGTAGTCTTTCGGGTACTTTTGTTGGAGCAGCATGATGCTATGCATGGGTGGGAGCATAGCATGCTTACTTTGTAAGCCTGTGAGTACCAGCTTTTGTTGCAGTCTCGCAGTAGGGCTGGCTGGGAATTTTTTTGGAGCGGTATAATACTATGCGAAGGGTTGGAGCATAGATGCTTGCTTTTAGTAAGCTCGTGGGTACCAGCTTTCGCTGCAGTCCCACGATAGGACCGGTTGGTTGTGGTACGGCATGGTGCTATGCGTAATTTTCACGGGAGGAGCATAGTGCACTTCTTAGGAAGTCCCTTTGTGGTAGGGCCGTAGTACTTTAATAATGATATCAATAAAAATTTCTGATTTTTTATAAACAATTATCTTTTTATTAGAAATTTTTTTATTAATAATTATTTTATTTTATTTTTTTTTTTTGATATCCTTTATAAATAAGGAAGGATACATTTTTTCCGTTTGTTTGAGAAACATTTCTTTTACTAACAATGTATACTATTAACATAATTAAAAGTGAAGCGTATAAATGAAATAAATAAATGATTTAATTTATATATTTAAGTGAGCTAATAGTAAGTAAATTTTTTAAAAGATATTATAATTAAATTTTTAAATTGTGTACGTCAAAATTTAAGTAATCTGGAGCTTTAAATATTATTTAATGAATTCATTCTTTTATAGACATTACAAATAATTTCTCTGGGCTCTGTAATTCTGTATACATTATTTTATACTGTACATACAGTATATTATCGATTTAATTGTCCATTAATAATTAATAATGTTTATTATAAATATATATATATATTTTTAGCTATGATACATGATGCGTCATGAATAAATATTTGAAAAAACAAAGGAATATGCTGTGGTAGAATATTTCGTCATTTAATTTTTAATTTCATTTTAAAAAGGAAATTATTTCATTATTTCAAAAAGTGAAAAAATTTAAAATCCCATTTACGATCTAATATTCTAACATTACTAAATTAATACTATATTCATCTTCCAATCGTTGGTTCAGTAGATTTAGACTCCGGTAATATGGGACTAAGTTATCTTTCTTCGTTAAACAGTTTCTTTGATTTGTATATACAGTATAATTAGTTATAGTGGATATAATAATTTATTTTATTGTTCGTCAAGCTTTCGTTCTACTTAGTTTACATTTACTATTTGGCCGGGCAAAAAAAATTTTTAGATTCTCGTGACATACTGTAAAATTTTAAAAATGACCCAGCCGGCCGGCATTTTTTTTTTATATTTGTAAAATTTTTTTATATGTAAAATTTTTTTACGCCACATTAGCCAATAACTTAAAATCACGTGATGAAAATTTTTTATTATAAAAAAAAAATTCCCATTTTTCGAAAAACTGACCCGGCCGGGTCACGAGAATCTAGATTTTTTTTTTGCCCGGCCTTACTAGATATTAATTTCTAAATACTATATTCTTTTAAAACTTGACGCTTCGGAAAAAAAGATTTCAATTTATGATAAACATAAGAATAATATTCAATAAACTTATATTAAGTTACATAGAAATGAAAGAAGTTAGTATTGTATATATATCGTATATCGTATTAAACTTAATTTGTCGTTGCGGTTTTTGAGTTTTACAAGCGAATAAAAAAAAAATTATTTTTCATTTTTCGTTACGATTTTTTTTCTCTTTTTTTTTTTTAAAAAAAAAAATAAAATAATTCTCTAAAACATTAAACATCTAGCTATTTCAAAAGTTT